GCCATTCTAAATCTCCATGTTACATGAGCTAGTCATATAATTTATTGAGGTAAATACTCTGTACAAAACTATTTACATGCGTATAAGTGTACATATTTGCATCGTATGGTCATTTAGAACTACGCGGGATGAGTCATCTTCAGCACCGAAGTGCTTATCTTCATTGTCAGTGTCCATAGGGGGTAGGTCAATCAGGTCTTCAGGTTGGTCTTTTTCTTGTGTTTCTTCGGTTTCTGGAGAGATGGCGGGTTCTGGAGTTGACACCGTGTGGCAGGGATCTGAAGTATTAGGATTGCTCCTGAGGTTCCTGTGGGTGTTATAGTTCTCACAAAACGCATTTAAGATGTCGCCTATGCAAAGCTTTTTAAGCGTTTTGATGAACCTAGGCCTGATGTGCAGTGCGCTTAACACTTTATCGTTAGCATTATCCCAAGAACCCAGGGCTCCAATTATGATCGCTTCCAGAAATGTTGTGTAACCCTGCTGTTCGAGGGCTGCTTGGATATGTTTGCAATGTGCTATTTTGTGTGCGCATGCTACTACAAAGCCCTCAGAGCAGTTCTCAAAGGGTATGGCAATGTCTACCACGGCCGCGGTGCGGGTTTTGCGGTTTAGGGCTACGAGGTCTGGCCGCAGTTGAAAGTTTACCATAGTTAATGTTCTGTTAATGCGAGTTTCAATGTGTGGGCCACTTGGCAGTCCTGCAACTATTCTGTTTAGTACACTGTTATGTCTTTTAATCTATTGTTGTGCATGTGTTGTCATGCAGTGGCAAAGTATATGTGGGAGTGTTTCTGTCTGGTAACCACATTTACGGCAGGACTTCGTACCTAAGCGCACGTGGCCACGGGTGGAAAGGAGGTCAAGTCGTGCGGAGTGTACCAAGCGGTAGGTTGCATAGCTGACGTATTTCCCAGTATACATGAAGTGGTTAGAGGACGTATCATGGGAAGCACAGTCAGCTACTTTGCCTTGAACCGCTTGTTCAATCCACCGCTTGAAATGGTAGGAACGAACCAAGGAGTGCAGGTCTCTGCAAACTCGG